ACTGTCAACCTATAATTAATAGTTAAAACCGTAACCCTAATCTTCTTTTCACACATGTCCAGCCAGGCTCACAGGAAAAGAAACATAGGTATATTGGAGCAAAAGACCGAGAACCAGTTCAGTGATCCCTGTTCATAGTTTGCTGAAAGAGTCATTGATTTTCCTTCTTGAGATATATTTCAAGTCAGGATGGTGAGTGGTCTGGAGAGGAACTTGAAGGTGGCGGTGTTCCCAGGTATCTACTGCCCTTGTCTTTCGAGATGATAGTGGTCATGTGTTTGGAAGATGCTGTCTGAAGATCTTTGGTGAATTTCTGCAGTGCATCTTGTAGATAGTACACACTGCTGCTACTGAACATCAGTGGTGGAGGAAGTGGATGCTTGTGGATGTAGTACCAATCAAGTGGGCTGCTTTGTTCTAGATGGTGTCAAGCTTCTTGAGTGTTGTTGAGATTGCACTCATCCAGGCAAGTGGGGAGTATTCCATCACACTCCTGACTTGTGCCTTGTAGATGGTGGACAGACTTCAGGGAGTCAGGAGGTGAGTTACTCACCGCAGTATTTCTGGCCTCTGACCTGGTCTTGTAGCCACTGTGTTTATGTGGTGAGTCCAGTGGAGTTTCTGGTCATTGATAACCCCCAGGATGTTCAAACTCAGAAGTCACATGACACCAAATGGTTTATTTGAAATCACAAGCTTTCGGAGCACAGCCCCCTTGGCAGGATGCTGACAGTGGGGGATTCAGTGATGGTAACGCCATTGAATGCCAAGGGGCAGTGGTTAGATTGTCTCTTATTGGTGATGTTCGTAGCCTGGCATTTGTGTGGAGTGAATGTTATTTGCCACTGGTCAGCCCAAACCTGGATATTATCCAGGTGCTGCATTTGAGCGTGGACTGCTTCAGTGTCTGAAGAGTCAGGAATGGTGCTGTACATTGTGCAATCATTGGCGAATATCCCCACTTCTGACCTTTAGGATAGAAAGAAGGTAATTGATGAAGCAGCTGAAGATGGTTGAGTCCAGAGCACTACCCTGAGGAACTCCTGTAGAGATGTTCTAAAGCTGGGATGATTGACTTCCAACATCCACGGCCATCTTCCTATGTGTCAGGTATGACTCCAACCATCGGCGATTTTGCCCCCTGATACCCATTGATTCCAGTTTTGCTAGGGCTCTTTGATACCATGCTTGGTCAAATGCAGCCTTAATGTCAAGGGCTGTCATTCTCATCTCACCTCTGGAATTCTGCTGTTTGTCCATGTTTGAACCAAGGCTGTAATGAGATTAGGAGCTGAGTGGCCCTGGTGGAATGTGGCTGAGCAGGAATTGCTTGAAAGCACTGTTGATGACACCTTCCATCACTTTAGTGATGAATGAGAGTAGACCAATGGGGTAGTAATTGGCTGGGTTGGATTTTTCCTGCTTCCATATATTCCATTATTATATTGGCCCTGCCTTTCATTTATTCCTGTTTCTCTGTTAATCCCTTCCAAAAAATATACACCTTTTAAAATCACAAATGAATCAACACATCACTTTCCTATGGTGTCACTGTTTTGATTTGCTTTCCCAATTGGCAGACTGGGATTCCCTTCTCTCTGCTCAGTTGAAGCTGAAAAATATAGCCTCACAGACTATAAATCCAGAAAAACGACCTTACTACAAACAGAAATACAAAAAGCACTGCTTTCCCCTGTGCACTGAACTTGCACTGAGCTCTACACGTCTAGTATCTCTCACTTATTTGGACTGTACCACACTGGAAGTGCATTCTCTCAACTTCTCACAAAGCATACTGATGGATCGTTAAAAACCGCACCCATACTTAGACAGACACGCGTGCGCACACGGACACACGTTCGTGTTTTGCCCTCTTCTCCCCCCCCCCCCACAAACATATGTACGCTCACGCTCATGCTCTGTCATGCATGCACTCTGGCACAAAAATCTATGGGGTGAATTTGTATTTGCAGATGCATTCTATTTTGTTCAAAAAGCCCACAATCTATAGGTGGTCAGTCAGTGTAGCATTTTATAAATTCCTATCTTAGAAATAAAACCAGTCTGACTCACAACCAAATCACACAGATTCTCGACAAGGCCTCTTACCTAACATGCATTGTCTGACCTAAAATGTCACCTCTACTTTACACTGATAAAACCTTTAGTTCTCTCCAGGGCAGTGACTTGAAAGGAATTCGGGGATTGCATATACATATTAATGAATTAAAACATTCTAACTGATTAAAGATTTAACAGCATCTTAGGTTTGTTTAATGCATCCTCATCAGTGGTGTTGCCCTTTGATCTTTTGCTTGCAAATTCTGTGTCAGATACTATCTCTCTCATTAACACCTGAAGAAGGAGCGAAGCTCTGAAAGCTTGTGATTTCAAATAAATCTGTTGGACTATAACCTGGTGTTGTGTGATTTCTGACCTTGTCCCCCCCAATTCAACACCGGCACCTCCACATCATAGATAGAACTGGGGTGAACTGAAGTAGCTCACTTTTTAAACTTCAGTAGTAGTCACCATCTGCTGTGGCTCTATTCAGGCTTCAGGTGATTGAGTGACAACTGTCCCTTATTACCTTTTAACTAGACTACTAAACTTAGAAATAATAAAAGGAAAGGCTTCACTAGTTCATTTCTGACAGTGCACTAAATTTCCTGTATATTTCTCTCACTTAAGTTGTACCTTACTGTGGATATGCCTTCTCCCAACTGTTCATGTGAAGTGTCTCAACAAGTCATTTAAGGATCCTGAATGGAATAGAATGAAAAACCTTTGACAAGTGGAAATATGTTATTTAAAAAAAAAAGTGCCATTCTTGATGAGGTTTTATAATCAAGTTGTACAGTGTGATTATTTACACCAACTGTCATTTAATCGTCCAAAGAGGGGGAAGTTCCAATTTGGTGCTGGAGAGGATGATTTGCCGTGGATGGATGATTTTGAAAGCAAAAGCAACACATCTCGTCCCGAGACAGATCCTTACAATGATACCACAACCAAATAGACTCAATGAATTTTCATCTGTTGGATGCTGTTGACAATTGATTCATTGAGTTTGACAATGTTTTTATTGTAGTTAAAGGTGTCTTAGTAGCATTAATTTATTCAATGAATTAATGCCATTTCAATATAATGGCTTTTTTTCCACATCACAAAATGACTTCAAAAATTAATTTTTATGTTGATATTTATGGTAATTATGTGAATTGATAAAGATGATAAGACTACTGAGAAAGGGTGGGGGAATGGTGCTGGCTGAGTTTCTCTTGCAGGGATCTCTTTTTGAGCTGTATAAAATTCTATGAAATCACTATTGGGGCCCAGACAGCGTAACTTTCTAGCCAATCAACCTATCCAGCCTCTTGCCCTAACTGTGCAGTCCTTTTTTGTCTCCAAAATATAAGTAATTATACTTCCAATCTCAGTTACCTTTCCCCCATGATGATGTTCTTTCAAAAGCCACTGTTAGCAAAAGTGAAACTCCTGGAATAAAAGTGGTGGTAACAACATGGGTGCAAAGTTGACAACGACATCGGAAAACCAAGTCATGGTGCCCGGCTCCTTTTCTGTCAGATTAAAAGATTGTGGGTTTCACAGATGTAGCCAAATATTGGGCATGAGGACTGCTGCTATTTTTAGTACACATTTCGGGTAGGGAGCACAACCTTGGAAATATAGTAAACAGAAAGAAATATAGTAATAGACTTCAATGGGCTGTAAATGTACCGAAGCACAGTAGATGAAATTTATTACATGTGTAAGGCATTTTTGGAGCAAGAATGAAGAGGAAAAATGCATTTTTAATTATAGAATTTTATAGGAGGTGCAGAAAGGGGTGTTTTAGGTCTTTGTTCATGAAAATGACAGGAAAGATTTGCAAAAGTTAGTAGAGCCTAAGGCATCCTGAGTATTATAAATGAGGCATAGAGTAGAAAAACCTAGAGGTTGTGTTAAATCTGTATTTTTAAAAAAAGTTTATAACTGGAGCCAAAGTATCAAGTGCAATTCTGGGCACCACATTTCAGAAAGGATGTGAAGGTTAGAGAGTATAGAAGAGATTAGTATGGTGAGGTGAGGTGTTATAGATACATGGATAAACTGGAGAAGATGAGGCTGTTTTCCTTTATACCAGTGAAGGCTAAGAGCTGATGTAATTTAAAATCAGTAAGGACTAAGACAATAGGTAAAAACGGATGAAGAGTCGCTAACCAGAAGCACAGATTTAAGATGATTGAAAATTGATATTGAGGAAATATGAGGAAGAACTATAGGATTTGCAGTGTGCTTCCCATTAGAATGGTGGAAATAGATTTTAATAACAATTTTCAAATGCAGTTGGATAAATGCTATGAGAAAACGTTGTAATGAACGGAGAAAGAACAAAGGAGTAGAACTAACTGGATTGTGCTTCAAAATAGACTGGCTGTCTCCTGTGCTATGTTACTTTGTTTCTGTGATTACTGATCGCATTGAAATTGTTGCCTTTGTGTTATCTGTGTCTGCAGATGCTTTTCTTATCAGCTTACCTTCCTTATTCCTGCTTGCTGTTGACAGTTAATTGGAATTTTAACCTCCTAATCTCAGTCCCAATTGCTGCTGTTGATTTTTTTAAGTTTCTGCTTGTTGTGTTCTGCTCTGATATTAAATATCTATATATTATGCAACACCAGCTGATGGAACCATCTAACGGCAATGGAGAAAATGTGGCTGGTTTCTGAGATATTTATTGTGGGATTGATTTTGTTGTTTTGAATACTATTATTAGTACAGTGATCTTGAAGGGGACATGAATTGGACAGAGTGAACAGTCTTTATCACAAAAAAAAGGCTGAATTAACAATTTGTAGAGCTGTGGAGATGTGCCAATTGAATTGAATGGCTCAACTGAACCTCTAGCTGGCAGCTTGTCTTATTACTGATAAGACTGAAGCTGTTCATTCACCAGTCTGCTACAATATCCATGTTCTGTTTCTTTCCTCCCTCAGCCAGATGAACACCCATCAGAAAATAGTACATCTCCCCAGAGCTGGGATACCGTGAACCACTTCCCAGCAGACAGTAATTCGTATGAGTTGCTGACTGCAATAGGTAATAATTATGTGCACACATGCGTTTGTATGCATTTGTGTAACTTGCCTGTGTTTTTTTTTGTTTGCGGGTCATGTGTTGATGTGTCTTAATTTTCACGCCAGCCCAGTGATGTAATTGGCATTGACTCATTTACTGTCAGCATACAGGAGCTCATTATGAGAGTTTTAGGTTTGTGGTCTCCAAGCATTTAAAGCTATTTGGTGCATTCTTCCAGCCAGATCAACACTCTAACTGATGATTGTCTGTAACATGTTAATCACAGAAAATTTAGCGTATCTGTACCATCTAGGACATTGAGACTGGGTGAGGCAGGAATGAAGTGGACTCCAACAATCCAAAAATGGGCTTGATGATTGGAAAGCGCGATTGTCCCTTTCCTTCCCCCTCCTCCCCAGTACTGAAAAGTGACCCTGATAAAGTGACTGGCACATCTGAATTAACAAAGCACTATATTTATCATTGATAATTTAAAAACAAGGCACGCTGTTTTTAAAAAAAAAAGACTATGAACAAATTTGTTTGAACACTAGGCAGTAAAGTTAATTCCCGCATCAAAATAGGAGGATAACCCTGACATTCATTGTGCATTTGATTAACGTGAACAGATCATGATGGTGTCCCTTCTCTAACAAATAATGTAGTTCATGTGGCAAAGGTGAAAGACCGAGACTGAACAAGATTTTTGTTAGTACTTGAAATCTTTGATAGACTGGACTTGGAGATGGTTCCATTTGTGAAGGTGTCCTAAATTATGGCCATAGTATGTACACATAGTCGCTAATAGGCTTCCATCTCATCACCACCAGTTCTGTCAACCCCTGCAGCTGTCTCTAAGCTAACAGGCTGCTTTTCTGCCATTGAGAAATTGGCTAAGCAAATATTTTCTCCATTGTCTTTGGATCCAATCACAACTTTATTCCTGAGCCGTGATTCCAACCTTCTCTTTGGCAGTTGTCACAGGATGAACCAGATTGTGCACGACCTTTTAATATTTAATTCTGTAATGAGTTTCCAACTGCATATTTGCGTAAGTTAATATAATCTATTTCTGACCCTGCTGTTGTTTCAACTCGTCTGTTGAAACCCTCATTTATGCCTTGACTTGCTCTTTCCAATATGCTGCTGGCTAACCACCTATATTTTATTCTCTGTAAAATTTTCTGCTTCACATGTCCTAATTCACCCCAAGTCTCATTCATAGATTCATACAGCACAGAAAAGGCCCTTTGGGCTTGTTGAGTCTGCACCGACATAACTACCAAAGTGCGTGAATCCCAATTTCCTGCACTTGTCCCATATCCTTGAATGTCATGATATTTGAAGTGTTCATCCAAATTTTTTTAAAGGTTGTAAGATTTCCAGACTCCACCACCTTCCCAGACAGATTCCCACCACCCACAGAGTGAAAAAACTTTTTCCCCTCTGAATCTCCTGCCCCTTACCTTAAAACTATGTCCTCTTTTGATTGACTCCTCAACCAAAGGGAACAGCTGCTCTCCATGCACCCTGTCCATACCTCTCAATCTTATACACCTCAATTGTGTGCCACCTCAGTCTTCTCTGCTCTAAAGAAAGCAATCCAAGCCTATCTAATCTCTTATAGATCAATCTCCATCCAGGTAACATCCTGGTGAACCTACTGTGTACCCACGCCAGTGCTGTCACATCTTTCCTGTAATCAGGCAACCAAAACTGCACACAGTACTCCAGCTGAAGCCTGACCAAGGCTCTGTACAACTCCAACATTACCACCTTGCTCTTATACTCTGTGCCACGACTGATGAAAGCAAGTGTCCCATGTGCTGCCATAAACTATCCTATTCACGTGCTGTGCTAACTTCAGGGATCTGTAAATAATTGCCCTAAGATCACTGTTGTTCCTCTAAGCTACCCAGTGTCCTGCCCTTCATTAAATACTCCTTTATCTTGTTGTTTCTTCCAGATTGCATCCCTTCAGACTTAACGAGGTTAAGTACCATCTGCCACTGTTCTGCTCATCTGACCACCCCATCTATGTCTTCCTCTAACCTACAGCCATCATCTTCACTATTAACCACTCTACCAACCTTTGTGTCATCTGCAAATTTGCTGAACATGCCCTGGACGTTTTCATCTATATCATTTATGTATATAACAAACAATAAGGGCCCCAGTACTGATCCTTGTAGTATTACCTCTGGATGCCAGTTTCTGATCCATCTTGCTATTTTCCCTCAATTCCATGTTCTTTAACTTTCTTAATCAGTCTCCCATGTGGGACCTTGTCAAAAGCTTTGCTAAAATCCACATAAACTACATCAACTGAACGTCCCTCATCCACACATTTGAGCACATTTTCAAAAAATTCTAACAAATTTGTTAAGCATGGTCTTCCTCTGACAAAGCCATGCTAACTATCCCTAATGAACCCATACCTTTCCAAATGGGTATTAAATCGCTCCTTCAGAATTTTCTCCAATAGTTTCCCCACCACTGATGTAAGACTCACTGGTCTCTAATTTCCTGGTTCATCTCTACCACTCTTCTTAAAACGTGGAGCCGTATTTGCTGTCTTCCAGTCCTCTGGCATTTCACCCATGGCCAGACAGGAATTAAAAATTTGTGTCAGAGCTCCTGCAATTTCCTGCCTCACCTCCCACGGCAGCCTGGGATGCAATTTGTCCAGGCCGGGGGATTTGTCTGTTTTTAGTACCTTGCCATTTCCTATGTCAGACTGTGCAAGTTTCTCACAGCCCCTTTTCCTGAATTCCATACCTATGTTCTCCTCGTCCAGAGTGAACACCAACGAGAAGTATTTGTTCAACACCCTTCCAATATCCTGCAGCTTCACACACAGGTTGCCCCTTCGGTCCCTAATGAGCCCTGGTTAACTTCCCCCTTTAATGTATTTATAAAAATTCACACCACATCCCTTAGTTTTTTGACCTATGTTAACAATTTGTTCAGCAACACCTCTCTTTAAAATTCTGATCCTTGCTTTCAAACCTTATGCTTCCCTATCTCTGCAATTTCTCCTCGCCATACAGTCCTTCAAGATAACTTACCTACTCCATTTCTCGCCTCCTTGAGCATCTCTGATTTTAATTGCTCTGTTAGCAGCTGTACCTTCAGCTGCCAAACCTTAAAGCTGTAAAATTTTCTCTCTGAACATCTGCAACTAAATACCTCCTTTCTATCTTTATAACACTCCTTATAACCAAGCAGTATGGCCTTTGTTTTAGATAAGCTGTGCAATATTCCTGCAGCTCAATGTTAAGTTAAATTTGGTGAAACTCCGAGTTGTTTCAAGATGTTTTCTTACTATAAAGATATTCTATGAATAGAAATTGTTCCTGTTAATGGTGGTTCTGATCCCAGCTGATCATAACACTTGATAAGTCAGCTCACAGAATGAAACTTGATCCTTTCTTCGTTTGTTAATTTGGCGATCTATCACTGAGACCCATTCACACAAGGCTGCAGATTTTCTTTACCAACTGAACAGAAGATTAGAAATGTAGAAACTAGGAGCAGGAGAAGGCATTTGGCTACTCAAGCCTGCCTTGCCATTCGTTATGATCATAGCTGATCTTCTATCTCAATGTCAGTGACTTGTCCTCTATAGCCTTCTATGATAGAGAATTTCTTAGGTTCATCATCCTCTGAGCGACAAGCCCTGGTTCTGGATCCCTCAGCCATAAGAAACATCATCCCCCCCATCCAGTCTGTCCAGCCATGTTAGAATATTATTTTGCAATGAGAACCCCTCAATCATCAAAACTCCAGTGAATACAAGCCCAATCAACCTAATCTCTCATCTTAAAACAAACCTGTCTTCCAAGGAATCAGTTTGGTGAACTTTTGCAGGATTATTCTAGGACTGATTGATTGGAATCTGCAGAAATTAAGTTGAGCTTGAGATGATGAAGCCTGTGCCATTGTGTTGATTAAGCTGGTCAGGAATTTATCTCGAAATTAAAACTGAAATAAATAATTTGAGAAGACTCTTAAGTGAAGTTTATGGTCTCCAGTGAGCCTTGTCCTTCACAAAAACTACAGATTTCTCAGCTGAGGGGTTTGATTCTGTAATTCTCGGTCACTGAAGACCTGACCCCTGCATTTCCCACGGAGCTAGTGGCATTCTTGGTATCTATTTTGTCTGCAGCAAGTTCTCTCAAACAACATAAGGTCAAAGATAAATTAATCTAATTTCCATATTTGAAGAAGGAATCTTGGTGCGGATACCACGAAAGCTTCTTACTCCTCAAATAGTGACAAATAATTGTTAACATTAGCTGGAACAGTTAAATAAAACCATACTTTAATTATCTTAGAGGGCAGCAACTTTGACAGTGCAGCATTTCATCATTGCACTGGAATGATTATTCATTCAAGTCCTGAATGAATTTTGATTCCATCGATGAAATAATTGTTAACCTGACATCAACCAACAAATACAGAACAAAAATAATTGGAGACCTCAACTGAAGCACTGCCAGCCTATTGACAATTTACCAAAGAAGCAAAAAGGCATAGCTCTTCTGTGCAAGTGAGGACAAAATGAATGAAATGCTGTCTTGAAATCAGCAAACTATTGAGCTGAAGTTCTACTAGTTTTGCTTTTTGCTCCCAGAGTGAAATGGTTGTGTCTCTTGTACAGGTAAAGGATTTAATGACGTTATGACTGTGACCTTGGGGAGGTACAAGCGGACTGGTGAGCAGGTGGCTGTTAGAAGAATTAACTTGGACAACTGCACCAATGAGATGTTTGCTTTATTACAGGTAAGACCTTTTGTTAGCTAATTTTGGGAAAACACAACAGCGCTTCATTGAAGGCTGCACTGATGATGTTACCCTGCAGGGTAATGAAACATCTGCGAACTAACGAACCAGCTCGACGAATGAACTAACGACAACATCCACAACCCAAACTACAAATCTACTCAAGAACCCTTTGGGAGTCAGTGGAGGAAAAGATGTTGTGCTTTTAGATTTGAAAGGGCCCTAAGTGCTGTTTTATCATAGATTCCCTACCATGTGGAACCAGGATCTTCGGCCCAACAAGTCCACACTGACCCCAGAGCATCCTACCCAGTCCCATCCCCCTAATCTACACATCCCTGAACACTTGAGCAATTTAGCATGGCCAATCCAGCTGGCCTGCACATCTTTGGACTGTGGGAGGAAACCAGAGCACCCAGACGAAACCCACGCAAACAGAGAGAATGTGCAAACTCCACACAGACGGTCACCGGAGGGTTGGATCGAACCTGGGTTCCTGGCACTGAGGCAGCAGTGCTAACCACTGAGCCACCGTGCTGCCCAAATTAAATTTAAATTAGTAGAGTTCCAGGTAACTATTTGAAGGTAGTTAAAATAATGTTAAAATGTTCCCTCCTCATTTTAGTTCATGTGATTGATAATATAAAGCTTGTAATATTTTGCCATTCTGAATGAAAAGCAGAGATCTCAAAGAATGCAGATTAATTAATTAGATTTACCCTGCTCTCCTAGGGCTTTTCTAGTGCAGTGGTAGTGTCCCTCTCTCTGGGTTCAGGTCCCACCTGGTCCACAGGTGTGCCATAACATCTCAGAACAGGTTGATTAGAAAATATCTAACACTGCTGTCCTGCAGTTAAATTCACTGTCCAATCCATAGGTTGGGTGCTTCATCCTGGGACAAGACAATTTAACTATTACCTGATGGCTTGTAATAAAAGCCTGAGTGTATCCATGAAATATGTTAAGTATTTTAAATTCATGCTCCAGATAAGGAATAGAGGACTAATACAAAAGATGTATCTGTATATCGAGAATGTAAATTTTAAGGGATAACTAAGGC